GAAGAACAGCCAAATAAACCAGCCAGCAGCAACAGGCGGTGGAAAAAATCCAAACTGAACGGGCACGTCCCTCACAGAGCCAGAGCCGTCCGGGACTCCTTCTCCTTGAGCAGCGCCTCTTACAGCGAGTCTGACGAGGAGCTGGTGGCTGAGAGCACGCCCTTCCTAAGCACTCAGAACAATGCGGCGGCGCACACAGGGTCGCCCCCGCTCCACCGGCCGGGCGGCGCAGCAGCCTGGCGCACACAACGCCCAAACCGGACCCGGATCCTCTCTAGGCACCTCCCAGACTCGCGCGCCCGCAGACGTAACCCGCATGGAGGAGGCCGAGGAGGGAGATGAGACAAAACAAAACAAAACAAAAATAAATATTTTTATTTTATATAAAAGAGGGAAAAAATATAACAAATAAAATGTTTTATTTTCATTTTAGCAAAGTTGTCTTATAATAGCTAACGGCAATGACTTTTTTATAGGGAATCTCTATTTATATGTAATGTCTTGATTTACAGCTTCCAAGAAAAAAAAAGTAAAAAAAAAAAAAAAAAAAAGAAGAAGAAAAGAAAACAAACAATAAAGCTAAAAAAATAAAGTGGGCCAATTTTTGACTACTTAAAAATAGAAAACAAAACTATCGTGGTGCCTTTTGCTGTATGCTAGTGCTGGGATTCATGCCGAGGATTCTGTTTAAGTAGCATTTTTAAGACCATAGATTTTTGTTTGGAAGACAACGTGTCACAAGGGCATTCTTCCGTCGGAAGAAAACAGCCCCACCACTTTGCCCCATACCCCGCTATTAATGATCTTATTTTTTAAGGTATCATTTAAACACACATCAAGGACATGAGTGGGAGCATTTCCATTATCATGTCTAATGGGGATCTGTCTTGCCCTGTAAAATACTTGTATTTTTGCTTGAATCGGGAGAAAAAGAAACCCAACAGCACCATACCGAAATGCAGAAATAATGTTTCTTTGGCCACACAGGTAGGAAGAGAAAATGAGAATGCGCAGCGGCAGCAGCCCTTACAATATAGCTCTCAGCCTTTGGCCATTTCACCTGTGGGTCTGAAGCTGGGTTGGCGCAGGTCTGCAGTCAAGGCAGACACCCGTATGAACGTGGTGAAATAACACCCGCTTACGCAGGGTTGAATCCAGTTGACTGAAGCCAGCCCTGGCAGGCAGACGGCACTGCGCGGTGGTCCCGACAGGGTGGTCTCCATTCAGCTGTGGTGTCCCGTGGTGGCTGCATTGCCATAGCGATGCCGTGCCGGCCGCGGCGTCCCCTCGGCGGAGCGGTGTAGCCACGGC